GTTCTTTTCCCTCAAAAGATGAGCAGTGGTTTTGGTTTTTGCCTTGAACGTCCTTCACTGCTGGGTAGACTTGGTGTGGGAGGTGCAGGGCCTTGTGGTGTGAGCTGGGCTCTGGCGGACACTGGTTCTGTTCCTCCCTCTCAGGCAGCACAGCACTCCTCCTCATCCTGTGCACCCAGCATTCCTTCCCGGAGCCCAGCAGGCTGTACCCCGACCTCATCCTGGCCCTGCTGGCCCTGGAACGGCTCTGCTCCCTGACGTGTCTGCTCATCTACACAGGTGAGGAATACAAGCAGGCTGCTCTCACCAAGACCCGCTTGCAGCCAGCCCCTTATCTTGGCAACAGGGAAGTTCTCCAAGATTTTACATGTAGCCCGGAACCCGCTGAGCACCGAGATCTCTCGTTGACATGCAGACTTCTCTCATTTCAAACCAGTAGGAAGATAGCAGAGAGTCTCCTTTCTAAATTTGTGTCATCCACGAGTATTTTGTCAACTAAAGTGAGGCCTTTCCATTAGAAAACAAAACAAAACAAGACAAAACTAAAGTCCACAAATGGCCCTGGCTGGTTTGGCTTAGCGGTAGAGTGTTGACTTGCCGGTTCGATTCCAGGCAAGGACTTTAGCACAAAGCCTGCCTGCTGGGTTATTTATGAAAAAAAAAACAAATTTTTTTTATCCTCACCCAAGGACATTTTTGCATTAATCATCAGATAGAGCGGGAAGGAGGAATAGAGAGAAACATCGATGTGAGAGAGACACATCGACTTGTTGCCACAGGACCCCATCGAGGTCCGGAGACAAATGCACAACCAAGGTATGTGCTCTTAGCGGGAACCGAACCAGGGACTCTGTGGTCCGCGAGCCAACGCTCTAACCGCTTGGCCAAACCAGCCAGGGCTTTATGAAAGATCCTGACAGAAAGTTAACACTGAGGGTATGCTTTTATAAGGATATTCTTGAGACATAAATTATATTCTTTTTTCTGATACATAGAAATCTAAAGTGATTAAGTTGTTATATTAAGACTGACTCTGGGAGGTTTATTTTTCTATTGTATGTACTTTGTATAAACTTTAAATTTATATAAGATTAAAAAAAGAGTTAACAGTGTGAGGACAAATGGTGTTGTAGCTGAAAACATTTTTGTGTTCATGTGAATCCAGTATAATGTATAGTTGAATCCTGTAGTAAATAATAATGTGGATAGGTAGTATTCTTCAGCTAACCTGCTTAAAGATACATCACTAAAATGAAAGATATTGTTATTGGTAAATACTGGTAGATTACAGGCCAAATAATTGAAAAACAAAACAAAAAGGTTATTACAAAATAAAGCATGAATACCATTCATATGAACTGTAAAAGAAAATACCAATATTCCTAAGTATGTACCAGTAACTAAAAAGTAAAGCCCATCATAAAATGAGATACCATGATCATGAGGTGTGTTCCCGGGGCGAGGCTTATCCATCGCACTCCGATGTGCTCACCCCTGAGATTCCCCAAACATAGAAAACCCAGTTGCATAATTTGTGGTAGTGGGAAAGGGGTTCATGCTCTCCCCCGGGGGGGAGTATGAAGGGGAAAAGTTTTTGAAAAATAAGAGTGTAGCCCTGGCCAGATAGCTCATTGGTTGGAGTGGCATCCTGATGCTAAGTTTACTGGTTCTATCACCAGTCAGAGCACATACTAGAAAATCAGTCAATGAATGCATTTTCATATGAATGCAAACAAGTGGAACAAGAAATCCATGTTTCTCTTTCTCTTCCTTCTTCTTTCTCTCTCTAAAATCAATAAATAGCCCTGGCTGGTTTGGCTCAGCGGTTGGAGCGTTGGCCTGTGGACCAGAGTGTCCTGGGTTCGGTTGCCGCTAGGGGCACGTACCAAAAAATAAAATAAAATAAATAAGCACTGGCCCATGAGGGTCAGTTGTTGAGCATTGTCCTATGCACTGAAAGGTTTCCGGTTGAATTCCCTGTCAGGGCACATGCCCAGGTTTCAGGGTTGATCCCCAGTAGGAGGTAGGCAGGAGGCAGCCAATCAATGTTCCACTCTCACGTTGATGTTTCTCTTTCTTTCTCCCTCAAAAAATCAATAACAAAATCCTAAAAAACAAAATTAAATCACCCTGGCTAGTTTGGAATAGTGGTTAGAGCGTTGGCCCAAGGACCAAAGAGTCTCGGGTTCAATTTTGGTCAAGGGAATATACCTCAGTCACAGTTTGGACCCTGATCCTGGTCAGGGTTGTGTAGGAGGCAACCAATCAATGTGTGTCTCTCTCATAATGACTGCCCCCCCGATCTGAAAATCAATGCAAAATTATCCTCCAGTGAGGATTTTTTTATTATTATTAATTAAAAAAGGAAACCTTCACCGTGGGATTGCAAGTTGGTGCAAATACTATGGAAAACAGTATAGGGGTTACTGCCCCCCCCAATTAAATCAGTCAATAAATTTTTGTTAATACTCACCTGAGGATATTTTTTCCATGGATTTTGTTTTTTAGAGAGGAATAAAGGGAGTGAGGGAGATAGAGAAACATTGATATGAAAGAGACACTTTGATTGGTTGTCTCCTGAAAGAGTCCGGACAAGGCCTGGGAAAGCTGAAACCCAGGTCATGCCCTTGAACCCGAGATTCTTTAGTGCCCAGGCCAACACTGTAATCACTGAGTCAGGCCAGTCAGAGCAATAAATAAAAATTTTTTTAAAGAATATACACTTTATTGGTTGTAAAGATATGTATGTGGCCAACCTATCAAGAAAATCAAGGGAATTAATAGTTAAGAAACTGGATGTTCCTTAAGGGTGCAGAAAAAGAGGGTGAAATAGAATGAAGGTGTCCACTGGGGCCTCTGAACCACTGTGCAATTTTGTATTTTTTTTTCTATTGATATATTTTTGCTATGTTTCTCTCTCCCCCAATTTTGTATTTCTTAACCTAAGTGTTTTGAATATAGTTATTCATTTTACTAATCTCCTTTAAATTGTATGTATATGTTTAATCTACTATTATTTTTCCTTGCAGTTCTAAAGGTCTCACATTTATTACTGAATCAACCTACTACTGTGGAAAAGAAATCATTCTTCCAATAATTTCCCAACTAAAATGCCCCACTGTCCCGACAGCAGTGATCTTTTCAGTGGTTCGAGGATGCAGGAAACTGCATGCAGCATAAATATGCAAACCTTCTCATGTGTGATTCCAAACCCAGGTTGGCTCTACCCCAAACCCCACCCCACCCCCACCCCCCGTGGAGTTGTACCTGATTGTGTTACCAGGTTTCACTCAAGTCCCTTGGAAAAAAGGGCCGATTCTGCCTTTGTTCCTTGGCCAGGAACCTCTTAGTCCTGAAAGTCTTGTGATTATGGCAAACAAGAATCAACCTTACACACCATGATGACGGAGAAAGAGAGCTTTAATCCATTTTTATATGCACTGCTTTTCGTAACATGATAATATATACACCATACTCAAAAACAAAATAAGCATATATGTAAATCAGAAATGGGATAGAAATACATTTAAATGTTAGAACCAGTGGCAGCCAGTTAACCCAGGGAAGACCTGGAGTCAGAAATCTCCCCAGTAGTGGCAAGGAAATGGGAATCTGCTGACTGAACTGTTCAAATTTATTGCAGTTGTGAAAGTACAATTTATATACATCATTGTTAGATGTCTGGTAACAATTTACAGATAACGTCCACATCTGTTAGGTCCCACAACATCTCTGCTGATCTTGACACAAAATTTTTAAAAATAGGAAAATAAGAAAAAAATGTCCTCACGTATGTTAAGTCAAATAAACATTAAATATTTTTTCCTTGGTGCTAGATTCACCGATTTTTTTTTTTTTTTATATCCTCACCCGAGGACATTTTTCCATTTTTTGTTCAGATAGAGTGGGAGGGAGAGAGAGAGAGAAACATCGATGTGAAGGGACACATCGAGTGGCTGCCACCCACACAACCAACCAGGGCCCAGGACAAACTGCAACCGAGGTACGTGCCCTTAGTGGGAACCGAACCTGGGTCTCTCTGGACCCCAGGCCGACGCTCCAACCGCTGAGCCAAACCGGCCAGGGCAGATTCACTGATTTTTGTACAAAATTTTACCTAATGTCCATAAATCACAGGAAGAAAATGAAGCAAGTCACAATTCATCCTTTGTAATCTCTTACAGCACAGATTGTAAGAGGTTTAGGATCATAGCTGATATAGAAGTAAGGCTTTAGCACTTCAGAAAACGCATCCATGAATGAATGGATGTGAGACCTGTCATTCAAACTGTAAAACGAAACCTGACCCAACTCACAGTCCAGATAGATACCAATCCCTCTGGGCTTTTCCTTGAGCTCAAGGACGACAGGAACAGACCCTTCTGCGACATAATCACCATCCCGCAGCTGAATCGTCCAGCATCTGTTCTGTCTTGGTGGGGGCTGCTTTCTCTCCTTGGGGAGGGAGGCTTCACAAACCCCCACGGCCCACTCAGGCTTGTCATCCACCTGGACCTCCCAGTAATGTCGGCCACAGTCAAACCCTTCAGAGCCCAGGACAACTGGGTCAACTGCAAAGCCCTTTGGATTTCGAGGAACTCTTTGCTTTTTCATCACAAATGTCACAGACTTTTTATCCTCAGACACAAGCAGATAAGGATGTGCTGTCTCGGGATCCAGAGTAACTTCTTCTCTAAACTTCTGTATAATTTTCTGCAGAGCCGAATACTGTGGAGGAAGGCTGCACCCTTCTCTCTTTAAGCGGACCCAGTAGACAGCCGGGGGTCTCAGGCTTTCACAACTGTGGAGGACACTCTTGACATCCATCAGCAATTTCACATCTGACATCACACTCTTCTCCGCCACCTCCTGGAGGAGACCTTTGAGGGTGGAAATGTGGTCTGAAAATGCAGTGGTGCTCACAGTGAGTTTCTGTTGAATGTCCTTCTCTTCCTCAAATAGCCTTGAGAGAACTTCCTCTCGCTCACGATCGATCGATTGTGTCAGGTGCTGAAATTCAGAGGCTAACTTCGATCTCCGGTTTTCCACCTTCTCTCTCAGTTCTAACAGATTCCTGTCCTGGGTGGCTACTAGTTTCTGAACATCTGCCATCCGCCTCTTGAGGGGCTCGAGGTAACTGCGGAGCCTTTCCCTGTGATGAGCGGCAGCCTCCTCCATGGGCCTCACCTGGTGGCCCTGGTGGGCAGGGGGCTCAGTGCACAGGGGACACAACACCTCTAGGTCCTCCTCACAGAAGAGGGTCAGGACCTGGTTGTGCTTCTCACACAAGCGCCTCACTTGCTGATGCTTCTTTTTGCTCCTGGTGATCTGGGAGAGCTTGGCAATGTCGACCATCCTTCCCAGCTGGGTGTTGCTCCTTAAGTGCCTGTCCTGGCACGGGTGACGGCACACAGGGCAAGGGATCCTGATGTGTAGATGTGCCCAGGACTGCTGGATGCAGGGGCGGCAGAAGTTGTGCCCGCATTGGATGGTGACAGGGTCTCTCAGGTCATCCAGACAGATGGGACAGTTGACCTCTGCCCAGAGTCCTTCCAGAGCTGCAGCTGCCGCCATTGGTCCCTGAATGAAGGACTGCACTGAGGTGGGCTTTCTTCAGGGAGCTGGGCTCTGTGAGATGTCCCCACTGAGAAGCAGGGGCACCCTCAGATCTCACTGACCTTCCTGTCCTGAGTGATGCATTCCTGTGAGACCGTGGCCGCAGGTGTCAGAACCGCTCCAGTCACCGCCTTCAGCCGATCAGAGTAGTTGAATCCAAGCTCAGAAATAGTCTTGGTCAGAAAGCAGACATGGTTCTGAAACACATACTCATTTCTGAGGATGAGAAAATATTGTTGCATGTAAAAAAGACTACCATGTGTTGCGAGGTCCCGCCCACTGCCACACCTGAAGCTGCCACTTGATTCCTCTCCACCATCAGAACCCACTAAACCCACGTCATCTACAAGGATGCTGTATGAGACTGTGGCAAGTGTATGGATTTGGGACTAGATCACCTGTACCTGAGTCAGCTTCCAGGCTTAGTGACCTACCATCTGGGAAACCTGGGGAAAGTCACATATTTTTATCTTTAAGAGAATCTGGCAAACAAGAATAAAAATCACAACTCTAATCATTTCAATCTTGTGAAAAACCTGAGGAAAAAATGTGGTACTATTTGGTTTATACAGGTTATTTCTGATATCACTGAATTCATAATGCATCAAAGTTTACTTGTTTCTTTAAGCTTCTCAACTGTAGGTTACATCCAACTATATCCAGACAAGTAGATGGGATTTGGATGAGATTGGATTACCTGTGTAATGACTAAACCCTGCCCCAGTCTGGGTATTACATTAAAACTGGGCTGTGTTGGGTAACCTACTTAAACACTCAAGAGTGCCTGTAAGCAAGCCGATGGCTGGATTTAGGAAGAGCAAATCCATACAGGATTTAAGGACTAGCACAGGAGGGCTCCCAGGCTCTGATCTCTCCACACCCGGCCTGTCAACAACCCGCCCTGAGACATCCCTCAGACCAGAACCTCTCATTCCCGTACGTCAGGTTGGGATCATGGTTTCTGTATTTAGCAGGCGTTTGGATGACTTCAGACAAGACTCACTAAGGGACCTGTACCATAATAAAAGCCTGTGTCATAATAACCTGACCCAGGTTAGGATTCCTATGGGAAGGGAGGTCAAGGCCCTGCAAGCACATGGGCTCAGGAAGCCAAGGCTCCTGCCTCCTGCACCCACACCACCCCTCTCAGCTCACCTGAAACCAAGTGCTGTGGGTGCATCTATGAGGGGTCTCTGAGGACACCTGCCATCACTTTCTCACACACAGATACTTACATTTCCAACCTCTCAAGGGTCAGATCTGAGTGCAGTATTTATACTTTTATTGAGCATTTTGGTGACTTAGGACAACGCTTGAGGAGGGTCCATGAAACCATAATAAACCTCATACTTTTTTTTTTTTTTTTTTTATCCTCACCGGAGGACATTTTTCCACTTTTTTGTTAAGATAGAGTAGAAGGGAGAAAGAGGAAGAGAGAGAGAAACATCGATGTGAAAGGGACACATCAACTGGCTGCCACCCGCACGACCAACCAGGGCCGGGGACAAACTGCAACCGAAGTACGTGCCCTTGGTGGGAACCGAACCCGGGTCTCTCTGGACCGCAGGCCGGCGCTCTAACCGCTGAGCCAAACCGGTCAGGGCTAAACCTCATACTTTTTTTTTTTTTAACAATAGATCAGTTATTTAATTAGGTTCTTTGTAAGAAATTTAGAACACCATTTTGTGAGGATAAAGCCCATTTGTGAGAGCAAACACAGAGCGTAGGTAGCCCTGCAGCTGAGGAACAGCTTTGATTTTTGGCAGAATTTGCGAGTCCACGGCTTTCTGGTCAACCTTGCGCTGCTCTGTAATCTCGTATTTCTCTTTCTCTGTGTCGAAGATCTCACCCTCCTGGTGCCTGGGCTTGCGTAGCTTCTTCTTCTTAAAGTAAGCATCAGTGAGATATTTGGGGATTTTCACACCACTGATATCAATTTTGGTGGAGGTGGCAATGACAAATTTCTGGTGTGTTCTACGCAGAGGAACTCGATTAAGGGACAGAGGTCCAGTCACAAGTAGCAAGCCACTGCTCAGCTGCTTCAGGAAAATCACCCTCTTGCCTCTGGGGCTCCCAGTGAGGACGATCAGAATGGTCCCAGGAGTGATGCTGGTCCGCAATTTTCTCACGTGCTGACTGAAGGGTTTCTCGCCCTGGCTCAGCAGCTTCCGAGGCACATCTTCAGTAGGATAATATCTAGGCATTTTGCGAAGTTTAACCACTCGGGTACCACCATTCTTGTCTCCACCAACTGGTTTTGTGACAGTAGCAAGAACTTTCTCCTTTTTCTTTTCAATCCTGGATTTAGCTGCGGAATACTTCCTCTTGTACATGGCCTTTCGGGAATACATAGCCGACCGGGAATACCTGCCAATTCCTCTGACTAGGACAGGGTTTCGGCTGCAGTGGGGCTTCCCCTTCTTAGGCGTCTTGGCCTTGAGGTTACCCTTCTTAACCTTGCCACCAGCATCAGCCTTCTGAGCTCCAGGTTTCTTCTCCTTAGAATCAGGTTTCTTCTCCTTAGTATCCAGCTTCTCAGGTTTTTCCCCAGCCATCTTGCAAGATGGGAAAAACTAAACCTCATACTTTTTAAAGTAAGTTAAACCCGGCCCTGGCAGGGCACAGTGAGGGAAGTGTGGCAAAGCTGACTTGTCTAGAGAGAGTCTAACTGAAAATTGGACTTATGGAAGCAGGGTGCGCACTTTTCAAACATTCTGAGGTATTGCAGCATCCTGGGTAATCCCAAACCCAAAGTGCTCTTTACAGCTGCTCTAAGTGCAAAAGCCGATAAAACTCCAATGTCATCCCTGTGATTTGTCTGGAGCTTCTTATAGATCAAGTCATCTCCTTATCAGCTCATGCACTGAGCCTCCACTCAACAGGCTTCATTTTTATTTATTATGTACATTCATTTATTTTTTTTTTTACGGATGTTTCTCCTTTTTTCCCCTCGACTCCCCTCCCCCACCCAAGCATTGTTGTCTATGTCCATTGGTTAGGTATACATGCACATAAGTTCTTTGTTTTATCTCATCCATCCCTCCCACCCCCCTCCTCTGAGATCTGTCAGTCTGGACCATATCAGCAAACTTTAAGTGCTCACTTAATAACTTAATCATTAGAATCCTGGAGCACAGAGACAACAGCCAGCATCCAACTCAGCACCCGACCATCCAGGGAGAAGAGACATTCCAGAGCAATGCAGATTTTGCCCTGTTAGTGTGGATGACGGACCATTTTATTCAGGAGAGAGGATAAGGCTTTTCTTCAGGAACACCAATTCCTGTTTTCCAGACCTGTGCACTGAAGAGTGTGTGGCACCATCTGCTGGAAAATGTTTGAACAATCAAAGTGACATATATGGTTATAAAACCTCACATAGGTCAAAAATTATACAGGGCTATTGGTCCTCTAGTAGCCACTGCAGCCCACGTCCAAGGTCACGCAGCTGTAATGTTTCTGGCTCTTGGCCAACCCTGGAAGTGGTCTGCGTACATAGATTCATATGTCCACCCCCTCCCTTTAACTACAAATGAGGGGACATATGTTCTACAACTTCCCTCACCACTTTTGCTCAATTAACATATGCTCTTAGAAATTTTCCTATACCAGTACAAATATTTCACTCTTTTGGGTTTGATTTGAGCAAAAACATGAATGGAAAACATTATATTTAAGGTGGAAAAGAATGTCTTTAAATAACCAGTAGGCTCTCCCTGTCCCGTGTGGCTCAGTTGGTGGGGCATCATCCTGTGCATTTGCAGGTTTGATTCCTGGTCAGGGTACATGCCTGAGTTGCTGCTCAATTCCCAGTAGGGGGCCTGCAGGAATCAACCCAGCTATGTTTTTATCTCTTTCTAAGATCAATAAAAACATTTTTTTAAAAAGAACCAATAGGCTGTATTTTCTGCTGGATAAATGTTTCCTCTGGTATTTTTCCCCCTCTGGCCAGTTTGGCTCAGCTGTTAGAACATTGGCACGCTGACCAGAGAGACTTGGGTTCATTTCCTGCTAAGGGCACATACCTTGCTTGCAGTTTTTCCCCGGCCCCAGTTGGGATTGTGTGGGTGGCAGCCAGTGCATATGTCTATCTCACATCGATGTTTCTCTCTCTCTCTTCCTCTCTCTCTCCCTCCCGCTTTATCTGAAGATAAATCCACTTCATTTTCAAATAAAAGCTACCATTTACTGAATACTTGACTCTATCTGAGACAGTGTGCTCTATGGTTTTTTTTTTTAATCCTCACCCAAGGACATTTTTTCATTTTTTTTTTTTTAATCCTCACCCGAGGACATTTTTCCATTTTTTGTACAGATAGAGTGGGAGGGAGAGAGAGGAAGAGAGAGAGAGGGAAACATCGATGTGAAGGGGACACATCGAGTGGCTGCCACCCGCACGACCAACCAGGGCCGGGGACAAACTGCAACCGAGGTACGTGCCCTTAGCGGGAACCGAACCCGGGTCTCTCCGGACCGCAGGCCGACGCTCTAACCGCTGAGCCAAACCGGCCAAGGCTCATTTTTTGTTCAGATAGAGCGGGAGGGAGAGAAAGGAAGAGAGAGAGAGAGAGACATCGACGTGAAAGGTACACATTGAGTAGCTCCCACCCGCACGACACAACCAGGGCCGGGGACTCACATGATCTGGCTCACATTTTAAAAGGCTCACTCTTTGCCCAGCCGGTGTGGCTCAGTGGTTGAGCATCCACCTGTGAACTAGGAGGTCGCTGGTTCAATTCCTGGTCAGGGCACATGCCCAGTTGTGGGCCAGATTCCCAGTGGGGGGCATGCAGGAGGTGGCCAATCAATGTTCTCTCTCTATTTCCCTCTCCTTTTCTCTCTCTCTAAAATCAATAAACAAACAAACAAACTGCCCTGTCTGTGGCTGGGTTGATTGGACATTATCCCAGGCACTGAGATGTTGCAGGTTTGAATCCTGGTTAGGACACATGCCAGGTTTTCTATCTCAATCCCTGGTAGGGGGTGTGCAGGAGGCAGCAGATCTGTGTGTTGCTCTCCCATTAATGATTCTACGTCTCCCTCTCCTTTCCTCTCTCTCTAAAAATCAACAAAAATATTATAAAAACAACAAAAAGAACAAACAAATAAATTACATCTCATGCCTGTTAAAGGAAAAATTCTGATACATTCCACCCAGATAAGCCTGCTTTCATACCTGTTTGGCACTGCCCAGTCAGAACCCTGTAAC